AGAAAACGACAAGAACATTAAGCTTGTCGGGCTGCACGGCTCAGGGGGGTCCCAACTCACAGCCTTGGGGGCCACAGGGACCCTGGGGCAGGCAGGAGACCGACGGGCTGCCGATGACGCAGCCTCACGGCGGTCCACTCGAGTGCAGTTATATATGAACGTTCCAGGATAGTGTGGAAGATGCGGTTAAGCTCGTAGGTCTCGGCCACCTACTCGTAGAATAGATCCATGAAAGAGTTAAAGAATGTATAGAAATAATTACATACGCGCATCTGGTAACCATCCACTCCGGCGAGCCGATGGGCTACGCCGAACAAAGGCATGGGGGGATTCTCGATCGATGCGCGCAAGGAGGCTGCTCCCGACCCACCAGTCTAGCAACTTACCTGCCGCTGGTCAGGTGGAGAGTGATAAAGGGCTGGCCGGGGATTGAATTCTGAGCGAATATAGCGGGCCCGTACTCTATTCATCCTTAAACACCCTGGATGCATTGACAGACCCCTAGGGACCTTTGTTCTTGCGTAGGCTACCTTTTGATCGGCCCATAGCGAAGGCCTTTGGTGTCTTGGGGCCATCGATCGCCCGTCACCTGTGTCCTCACTACCGGTGAGAGTCGAGAACGGGCCCGACGGGCATCAGCACCACAGCGAGCCTCACAGCTTGGGATGGTGCAAATGCTCTGGGAGAGGCCTCGCTCATCTACGCCCGACCGCAACACTAGACCGCACTGAATACACAGCACCCCAGACCGAACACAAGTTGCACGAAAACTCACTCACATGTGAGTCCCAGTCTGCACGAATCCATTTATTAGTAGAAAGCCTCCTCTCATCGTGCCATTGGGCTGTGACGAACACCTTCTGCCCCGACGCAGGCCCCCCGCGCCCCTCGTAACCAGCCTGCCTCCCGGGGGTCCATACACCGGCTACGTCCCGACTTAGCCCGTACAACTTACGACATCAGCTCAGGCCACCCACACATCAGCCCACGTCCTTGAAGGCCACCAGGATGGCGGCCGTCGACGATCTGCCCCAGTACCAGCACACAACCTTTCAGTCTACAAATATTATATGCCACAGCGGTACAGCCCAGAGCAGGCGGTAGAATAAAATCTCATAGGGTGCCACCGGACACATCCTGCAGCTGCGCACTCGCGCGCCACAGAGCGTGTATGGCGGTCGCGAGCGGGCTCCGCGTCTGTGCGAGCGAGGACTAGGGCAGTCCCATCTGCTGCTTGGCGGCTTCCTGGCCCGCCTCACGGCCTGGCATGCTGCCAAGCCAGGGCCAGGCCGCGCCCCATTCTCACCAAGGTCGGCGCCACGGCCGTGCAGAGGTGGAAGGTCAGCGCGGGGCCACAGGCCTCCCGGGGAGGCTCAGGCACAGAGGCCCTGAGGGACGGGACCGGGCAGGACCTCGATAAGACCAAGCCCTAAATCAACTCCAGCGGAATCCTGGGCGGCCCACGACCGCCTGGTCAATCGGGGCGAAGGCGGGATGGGCCACGATCCCAGGAAGTACCCAGCTGAGTCCGTTCCGCCATGTGCAAGGCATCCAGATAGACTAACCCCACACAGACCTTGAAGCCTCGGGACCAACAGCCGCACCGGCAGGGATCGCTCTACCCAGGCGATACATTCATCCACCCTCATGGAATCGAAGACACCTCACGCTGCACGCCTGTCCTCACAGGACCCACTGTGCGCGCTCCTCATACCCCCAGCCCAAATTCCACTTAGGACCTGGGAGAGGCATTCTTCTGGGAGGGGTGCCCGTAGCGTCGACATGCGCGTAGGTCACAGAGAGCTCAGCCTAAACCTCACGCCCTAGCGCATGTGCGAGGAGGTTGATTGAGGCTGCATCAACACACTTTCAGAACACGCACAGCTGATTCTGAGCCCAGGATTTGAAGGTGCGGGCTACGCTGACGACTCTACCACGCCAAGGCACTCATCCCTGGCTACTCGGCAACAGCAAGTGCGACCCCGTCTGACACTGCGCATCCCACGGCAGAGCCAGGCCCAGCACAGCACAAGGACACACCTGCCTGCCTTAGGAGCGGGGCACAGAGCGAGACAGCTGATCCAATCGATCGGAGTTCAGGCAGGCCGGCCACAGAGAGAGGAGACATAGCAACATAGCCAAACACACCACACAAAACAAGCGCGCCCATCTGCCCTTCACAGACACGAAGAGCCACCCACCTTCTATCACCAGGTAGGGCTGCCCTGGCAAAGCACACCCCAGGGGTGCCGTGCCCGAACCACCACGCCAGGCGCTGCGCCTGGCCACACCCACCTTACTCCCCTAGAGAGATCAAGACAACTCCCAGAAAGAAAAAAGACTCTATTAGATTGAGAGTAATCAATAACAATTAATAACATATCATGTCATCACCGTGGCCTGCCCGAAGCAACCACCCCAGGGGCTGCCCTGGCCGAAGCACCGACCAGGTGGCCTGCGCCCCTGCCGAACTACCTACCTTCCATGGACAGACGCTGCCCATATCATACCATCCTCACAACCCAGGGGCTGCCGCTTCGCGTCTTCATAAGAACCTACCACGACTCCAGGGACGCCCCTGCCCGAAGCACTACCTACAACTCCAGGGGCTGCCGCTACCGGAGAACTAGCACACACACCCCACGGGCTGCCCTGCGAAGACGCAACCTGGCAACCAGGGCGACGCCTGCTGCCCACCCCACCCAGAGCCATGGCGCTTCAGCCCGAAGTCACGACCACTCACTAACGGGGCTCTGCCTGGCCCAAGCCCACACCCCAAGAGAACAGCGCTACGTCGCCCGAACCTCGACAGCCACTCCGAAATGTCGAGGGCATCGCTTGCCAGGATCGCCATCTCGATGCTGCACCACCCCCTCCCCAAACAAGCGAGCTGCACAGAGCGCTCGCCGAACCACCGGGCAACAGAACAGATCAGGATAAGGCAAACCAACATAGGGGAGTCTGCAAACGCTGTTCATCGAAGCCCACCACCAGGCTCAAAGGAAGCGGTAAACCACGGAGGAACTTTTAGCCGCGCCTCCTCGAAGATCATAGCCCACACCTCCACACCTAGGTGCGCTAGGCAGACCCTCCTGATTAAACTCAACGATGGCCTGAGCGCTACTACCGCCGCCATGTCATTTGGAGCCGCCCTTGCTTCAGAACCTACACCACCCCCCAGGGCTGTCCCTGCCGGCCCACCACCCCAGGGGCTGCCGCTGCCCGAAGCCACCACCCCGCCCCACGGCCGCGCGCCTCGACCAGCCGCACCACCAGGGGGCTGCCCCTGCCCGACAGCGCACTCACCTATATCAATTACCAGACAGGAGGGTCTGCCCTGCCCCAAGCCCACCACAGGGGGTCGTCCCGACTGCCGAAACCCACACACTCACGCAGGGGGGTCGGAAGCACCCCATACGCCCGTAAGCCACCGAACGCCACAAAGGGGGCTGGACGGAATCCTTACCCCGATAAGGACCACCACCACGGATGGGGCATGCGCGCAATACACGAATTAAAGCCAAACTACCCACCCCAGGGGTCCATGGCTATGTAGTCGGCTAAAGTGTTGAGCCCGATTCCCCAGGGAGATAGCCCACTTACCCACAACGCCCAGGCTACCCGAAGCACCGACACAACTCCCAAAGAGGACGCCCTGCCAAAAAGCCAAGACCTACAGAATCCACACAGGGGGCTGTCCACAGCCGAAGCCTCTACGCACCCCAGTAAGGAGAGCTGCCTCGCCGTATAAGCCCTCACCTATACCCAGGGGCGACGTGCTCACAGTGCCCGATCACGACCTAACTCAACCATCAGCGG